GACAAGTGTACTCCATAAATGGAGGCAAATTTTGAATTTGTAATGAGTGCGGGATTTGAATGTTACGGTCGCTACTAATGAAGATAAAGATAAAGGAGATAAAGATTGAATTTGGGCAATCGATTTGAATTACAGAGCACAAATAAAATTCATTACTTGTGATCATTTTATGGTCATTTTTGAGTCACAGTATATTTATAAAACTATGTACAACAAAATAAGTATTATAAGTAATGGTTCAAATATTGCAGGTATAATTTATTTGAAGGTTTTAAAGTATTCTTGTATAAATTATGTAATCCCTAAAACGAGATGGCACTAGAAATCCCAGAATGGAAGAAAATATTATAATTTAAAATAAAGTAACAGTGTTAAATGCGATCGAATCCCATTGATCATTAATGCCATAGAATCAACCAATTCATTTCATGAATTAAGAAAAAAAAAGAGCTAAGGACTATTGCTGACTTATTTTCCTGATGTTTTATACATTAGAAATCCAAGATTGACTAAAAGGTCACCTTAACATAATCGCTAAAGCATTTTATTCACAATCACAGTCAACCTGGGGCCTTAAAGAGCAAACACACTGTTCTGACAAGCCTATGACATCAATACGTTTTTCATCTCCAGAGAGCCATGGAGCAACTCAAGAACCCTATCCACCTTATTTTGCAATGCGCAAGTAAGCCATTGTTTTGTGAATGTGTGAGACTTCCAATTCATTAGCCGCTATAGAGAGATAACTAGAAAAATATATAAAACTATTTGCGCTACAAACCAGTGTGTTTATAATTACACTCACCTAAAGGATTATTAGGAACACCTGTTCATTTTCTCATTAATGCAATTATTAATCAACCAATCACATGGCAGTTGCTTCAATGCATTTAGGGGTGTGGTCCTGGTCAAGACAATCTCCTGAACTCCACACTGAATGTCAGAATGGGAAAGAAAGGTGATTTAAGCAATTTTGAGCGTGCCATGGTTGTTGGTGCCAGACGGGCCGGTCTGAGTATTTCACAATCTGCTCAGTTACTGGGATTTTCACGCACAACCATTTCTAGGGTTTACAAAGAATGGTGTGAAAAGGGAAAAACATCCAGAATGCGGCAGTCATGTGGGTGAAAATGCCTTGTTGATGCTAGAGGTCAGAGGAGAATGGGCCGACTGATTCAAGCTGATAGAAGAGCAACTTTGACTGAAATAACTACTCGTTACAACCGAGGTATGCAGCAAAGCATTTGTGAAGCCACAACACGCACAACCTTGAGGCGGATGGGCTACAACAGCAGAAGACCCCACCGGGTACCACTCATCTCCACTACAAATAGGAAAAAGAGGCTACAATTTGCAAGAGCTCACCAAAATTGGACAGTTAAAGACTGGAAAAATGTTGCCTGGTCTGATGAGTCTCGATTTCTGTTGAGACATTCAGATGGTAGAGTCAGAATTTGGCGTAAACAAATGAGAACATGGATCCATCATGCCTTGTTACCACTGTGCAGGCTGGTGGTGGTGGTGTAATGGTGTGGGGGATGTTCTCTTGGCACACTTTAGGCCCCTTAGTGCCAATTGGGCATCGTTTAAATGCCACAGCCTACCTGAGCATTGTTTCTGACCATGTCCATCCCTTTATGGCCACCATGTACCCATCCTCTGATGGCTACTTCCAGCAGGATAATGCACCATGTCACAAAGCTCGAATCATTTCAAATTGGTTTCTTGAACATGACAATGAGTTCACTGTACTAAAATGGCCCCCACAGTCACCAGATCTCAACCCAATAGAGCATCTTTGGGATGTGGTGGAACGGGAGCTTCGTGCCCTGGATGTGCATCCAACAAATCTCCATCAACTGCAAGATGCTATCCTATCAATATGGGCCAATATTTCTAAAGAATGCTTTCAGCACCTTGTTGAATCAATGCCACGTAGAATTAAGGCAGTTCTGAAGGCGAAAGGGGGTCAAACACAGTATTAGTATGGTGTTCCTAAAAATCCTTTAGGTGAGTGTACAACAACACATTAAAATAGTACGGTAAGAAATACCAGTTTGCTAAATTAATCATCATAACAAGCTGTTTTGTACAGCTAAAAATAACTGAAAGTAAATGACACCGGAAGCCAAACACATTCAATTTACAAATTGGTGGATACAGTGAAAAATTGGTTCTTGATCAAAAAAGGGTACAAAAGTTTGTCAGTGAATGCATGAAACCGGAAAAAGGAAACAGAGAATGAAACTATGAAAAAGAGTAATTTAACCATCAGTTTCTTAGTTCAAAGAACCTTGTTAACATGGGGTTTACCGCTTATACTAAACCTCTGTTTAGTTAATTAATTGTACGATACTTGCAATGCCTTAGCTGTAGAACGAGCGTCCGGATATGCAGTCTCAGGAGAATGTCTTGATGATTCAGTGGTCCGAAAATGCTGAAGTTGCGATCTATTTCTTCACTGTTGAACGAAGAAATGATGATGAACTTGCGATGTTTGCCTGACTCAGTCGTTGTCAAGGAAGTTACAATATTTGTAAGTTAACTTGAGGCCCTGTCACCATGGCTGCGCCGACTCTGGGACAAAGGTCCAGTGGAACTTAAACCTTTGGAGGGAAACTTTGCGATCCTTTGTCTTCTAGCATTGTATTTTTCATATATTACTGGATTGGATGTTGTTGGAGAAACTATTAAAGATTCTTGTAATACTAATATTCTGCATAGGTATGAACATATAATATACGCAATCATTTAGATCATCAAAACACAAATTTGTAGATTTTAGATTTTAAAAATAGTACAGATGAGGTTACATTATCTAGTGATTCTATCATAAAGCATGTATAAAACGTAAGACACTGTACAAGACTTTTAATTATACACATAATGTACTGAAGATATGCATGTTCATTCATAGATTGATTGATTAATAAAAAGAGTAAGAGTAAATAAGGTTCAAAGATGTCCCTTTGAGGGTACTGGCCCAGTGACAAGCTGTTTTCCCCCTAAAGTTTTGAACTTTAGTGTATAAATATTTACAAAAATCATTTATAATTATAAAAATAAATATATAATTATATTAACATTGAAAAAAAGTGTGAAAAATGGAATTTTGCAATCAACCTTTTTCACAGCCGCACTCCTAATGCTTAATTGGATTAACTGCAGTCCTAATATGTGTCTCTCTCGCTAATTCCAAACAGGTCATTTGCACTGCCTTGTTCATTCCTGAAGGTCATCTGTGGTACGACATGAAAGACAGAGAGGCAGACAGAGGTTGAATGCAAGACACTGGACGGCCTGTGTGTATGCATGTGTTTGTTTTTGCACTCCAAGGCCGATTTAGGAGTTTAGAGAGAAAATATTCATGAATCTGCCGTTTGATGTCGGCGGGTATTGTTTAGCTCTTAATACCAGGAGAGGTGCTCTAGACTGACAGCACTTCCTGTTTGTTATGATTAGGATCGGAAGCCTCATGGCCTTTCGCCTCATCTCAGCCAATGTTTTTTCTCCAGAGGGAAAGTGAGCATTTGATGTGATGTGAAGATGCCGTTCAGTGCATTTTAAGTATATTTCTGTCATTGGATTTGGGCATCCTTTCATTGATTGCAGCAGGGGGGGGAAATTGTTTATTTTTTTGTCATCAAAAAAGGATCAACATATACAGTCCTTTGGGTCAAACTTGTATATTTTACACTTAAATCTCTCTTTTACTTAGATACATGAAATATTCACCACTTGTCGTCAAAATGCAATTGCTTCAGAGAGGATTTCTTTTCTAGATTGAATAGATATTTGAATAGCTCCTGTTTGAATTGTATCTTCAGAGTTAATTACATATTAAATTGTTTCGATTTTAAGCACTGTTCTTTTTGTAATTCCACACTAATCCTGTTAGAGTTGATTTTAAGCCTTGAAACACCAAAACAACATCAAAGAACTAGTGGCGACGAAAGCCGCCTGTGGCGTCACATGCGTCTGTGGTTAAAAAGTTGCGCTTGAACACACCGCAAAGACTACAGCCAACGGCCAACTAGCAGGTACAGTCGGTATCAGCAGGGGTCTATATTTGTCATTCAAAAATGGAAACCGAAACTAGGACTGGATATACAAACCATAAACAAACAGAAAAAAAGCGCTTGCTTACCATTTAGAATATCAATCATGTTGATCACTTTCTTCATTCCATTCCTTGTTATGAAAATAATGGAATGCTCAGGTAAGATGACATAAATTAGAACAGACTTCTGTCTGTGCTGTCTTGACTTCTTTGCTCGATTTCATCACTGGCGCTTTTCATCTCGTGCACTGACTGGTTCACTAAGTTGAACAGCCAATCAGAGTTCTCTGTCTCTCCGACAACACTGACGCAGATGGATGGCGATTTAATATGCTCAATCTGCCAAAAAGCCACTGACGGGGTCCGACTAGTGCAGATGGTACGGAACACACCACAAAACTAAGCTGACAGATGCTCAACGATGGCCCAACATTGGCTGATTGCCAACCATCAGCTTGGTGTTTCAGGGCCTTTAGGGACTTCAGGATATGTTTAGACTTTTGATATTTGTTGAGACAAGTTTTAGAATTTTCAAATATATGTTAAATATATGTTCCGAACTATTTGTAGGTCGCTCATCAAATTGGCAAATTGAACATCTTTGTATAAAAGTTGACATTTCCTTCCTTCCAATGAATCTCAAATCATCAGCCTCTGCACAAAGTTGTATTAACATTTTGTATTAAATTAGAATGGTACAAAACAGAAATCATTTCAGAAATAGCTAGAGAAAACTTGAATATTAGCTCAAATAAATACAATCCTCACACTCAGATTGTACTCCAAGAAGGAACGGCTCTGGAGTAAACAAACTAAAATGCTAATAAGAGGTTGTCGTCCAGGACTTTTCCTGTTTTTGTTTTATTTAAAAAATTCCCACTTTGAATTGCATATTGAAGCTCCAGCAGGCTAAAAGTTTTGTTTGTTTTTACCATTGCAGGTCACTTTTCACCTTGGAAGACCTCTAAACAGGTAAAACGTATCGTATTTCAGCCTTCTGATTTAAATTAATAAACTAACAGTAACTGTGCACTCTCACTATTGATTGATTAAGTCATATTATGCAGAATATGTATGAATAACCTTAACTGTAGAGCTTTATTACTGAGCTGAATGCATAACAGATGCTTTATTAAATTGTTATAACATATAACCACTAATTGCATTGTACTAAGCTACTGCTTGTGCCTTTTAATATACAGTACAGTAAGAATGACTAATTTTCGTCACAGATGAATCATCACAACACCAAACGCCAGCTATTTTTAAAATATTTCAAAAATAAATCAAATTATTTTAATAGAGCTAATAATATTTTCTAGGTTAAAAGATGTATGTATAATTTGTTCTATTAAAAAATTGGTTAGAAGTTGCATTGGTGTGACGTGTGAGTGCAAAGAATTAGGTTTTGGAAATTCAAAGTTAAAAGATGTGGGAACCCTAGTTGAAATAAACACTTAATATGTCATCATTTCATAGCTGACAACAAACTCTTAGGATCACCGCACCTTCACTAATCTTTTCTCACTAACCCGTAAAACCTTGACCCTCAGCAGCAGTCTGTCCATGTCTTGTACACTGTTTCTGATCCAATATTGTCTGCTCGACCACATCTTAAACTGTATATGAACTTGAACTGTATAAAGATACTTGAAAACAAATCAAATGATTTTAAAGGGATACTCCACTTTTTTTGGAAATAGGCTCATTTTACAACTCCCCCAGAGTTAAACTGTTGAGTTTTACCGTTTTTGAATCCATTCAGCCGATCTCCGGTTCTGGCGGTACCACTTTTAGCATAGCTTAGCATACATCATTGAAGTTGACAAGACCATTAGCATTTCTCAAAAAAAAAGGACCAAAGAGTTTCGATATTTTTCCTATTTAAAACTTGACTCTTCTGTAGTTACATCGTGCACTAAGACCGACGGAAAATGTAAAGTTGCGATTTTCTAGGCTGATATGGCTAGGAACTATACTCTCATTCCTGCGCAATAATCAAGAAACTTCACTGCCGTACCATGAGAGCAGCAGGCGTAATGATATGACGCAGCGCCTGAAAATAGTTCCGTTGTGTTGACGGAAGGTGGCCTATTTTCAGGCGCTGCCTATGCTAATGGTCTTGTCCACTTCGATGATGTATGCTAAGCTATGCTAAAAGGGGTACCGCCAGAACCGGAGATCGGCTGAATGGAGTCAAAAACGGTAAAACTCAACAGTTTAACTCTGGGGGAGTTGTAAAAAAAAGTGGAGTATCCCTTTAATAATTTACAAATAATCTTTTCTAGTTTCAAAATCTGGCTAAATCTAGTTATGCACAGGCAGCCGGCTAGAATTTGCAATGTTTTGCATATATAATATATGTATTTTATATATGTTGTGCAAATCCAATAATCGCAACTTAAAAGTTTCGGAACTCTAGTTGAACACACACACACACACACATACAGTGTGTGTATATATATATATATATATATATACTGTATATGCCTACCCATGCACCCACATGTCTATTTATTTTTGGTTTGAGAACCCTGCCCTGTCTGCTTCATATAACAAAGGCTTGACTGGTCATAAATCGACTGATTTTTCTTCAGACTACAGAGTCAGTGGCACTGCCTTGAGCTGCTGCGGACTGTACTGTCATTCTTCAACACATATCTTTGTATCTATCTCTAGGGAACAGAACTGGGACAGAGTGAGTGTAGGACCCGCTACTGCAGTACAGTAGAGAGCTGCTTGGGCTTTATCATCTCGCTCCCTCCCTAACGCTGGGGTTTAATTAGACATCATTTGCTTTAAGAATATCTCCACCGCCAGAAAGTTTCAATACTTGAATATGTTAAAGTAGTCCATCTTTTTTCGCAATTATCCATGTCTGAAGAATATTAGCCAACGCTGAGTCACAGCACTGCATCATTTAATCGATTGAAATTATGAAGTGCCAGTAAATGATACTATGGCTTTAGACCGCCCAATGGTTACAGCTGTCAAAATATAGAAATGTTGTAATGCATATGAGAACCGCCTAAATGAATATGGTGTATAATGGGGATGGGACAAAATATGTTAATATCTGTGGCAAGCAGGGCGGGGCCGAGAGCCGTGGGAATGGAGTGAGTCGTCTGTTGTCACTCCTCCTTTTATTCTTCCGCTCATAAGCACTCGTGCCACCGGCCTCGCTCCGTTCCCACAGCTCTCTGCCCCACCCTGCTTACCACAATATCTTTCAGGCTTCTGACAATAGTTCTGTTATTGATATGTGTTCTGAAATGGCTCAGCGGTACCATCATTTTGACCAAATAGCCATTATTCCAAAGTAGACATGCAAAAAATGAACTAAATGAACTGAATCGTTTGAATCATGATTCATATTAAATATTCCTCTCTTCATGCGCTCATACTCACAAGTCATGAAGTACTGAGTGCAAGCGCTCCCATTTCCACAAAAACTTAAAGGCCAAATTTAAAGTACATTAAAATGACCACAATATTAAATGTTTGCTCACTCTTTCCTCATAAAGTGAACTATGTGACATTCATTATATAGTGCGAAGGAGTGAACAAGTCAGCTGAATGTGTGAGATGTGTAAAATGCCAACCTGACCAGTACTACTAATAGGACTAAACCCCAATATCAGTCTTTTTCCATTTCATCTCTGGATGATTTAACTCATATGACCCATTCTCACAGACTCTGACTCAGAAGTGTCTGAGCAAATAAAACAAGTTGAGTTAAAACGTAAAATATTTATAATAAAACTGTATTTTTTATTCATCAAAAACCTGAACCAAGCACAAACCTGAAGTTATATATGACAGACCTGACGTGAACCCACCCAAAACAGTTTATCCTTTAGCAGACCTTTAGCGTGAGCTGCAAAACATTTCCAATGGATGTTGATTCTTTAAGGGAACGTTTACCTTGAGCAAAAACCTATTTGCAGGAGTGTGTGTGTCACAGCGCTTCGCTCTGGCAATATTAATGTCATCTATGAGCTAATGTGCGCGTGCGTATGAGTTTGCTTGGCAGTGACATGTAATAATCTTTTTGTTTCCCATCTGCACACAGCAGCCCAGAGGCATTTGCCTTCATCCTCTAGAGCTCCTCCAGATTAACATGCTAACGCAAACCTCCTTTAATAAGCCCTGGCATCTTTCTCATCCTGGCATCTACTTTCTTTCTTTGTTGACTATTCCCCCCTCTTCTTTAATCAGGCCTTTTGTTTGGCTTTTCTTATAGGGTTCTTTTAAACTACAGCTTTTGCCGTGAACCCGAATCCATTTGTTGTATAAGTTTGGTTAGTTTAGTTTATTTTAAAGAGGACCTATTAGGCCCCTTTTTACAAGATGTAATATAAGTCTCAGGTGTGTCCAGAATGTGCCTGTGAAGTTTCAGCTCGTACCAAAAACTAAAACATCTGTTTGGCTTTATCATCTCTATCACGGTCACACTCACGTGACATTGCAGTACTTCATCATCATGAAAGTCTATTATCTGCATGTGTTTTAAAGCTATATCAGTCTAAACTTCTGATTTGTGGTTTTCTGAGCGCACACATCCGAACCACTCGCACAGAAAGCCGAATGTCAGACGGGGCGTCCCGTGAGTATTAAACTAAGTTCTCTTTCACGTCTTAGTGCTTAAACTGTCAAATACACAGAAGGTTATGTCAAAAACACTCAAAGTTCACATTAAACTCAGTCGGTTTTATCTGTGAACGTAAACGGCAAGTAAAGACATCGCATGTGTATATTAGATTTGTTTTTTTGCTTTTGCTGTAACACTGTGTGTTCCTTTGCTTGGGCAAAATTCTGAATTTAATCGCCTCTCTTACGATTTATGAGCTGGAATTGAACTGGCCTTTAAGGGAGTTCGGGGAATTGAATGAGGAAATATATTTCCCCACAGGAAATTGAATGAGAAAATGAAGTAGAATTTACTTAACTAAAATTGTTGTTCAGTATATAGTTAAGGTCAGTTATTGAATTGAAAAAAAGTGAAAAAGTCATTAAAACATCTGTGTAAACTGTTTTTGGGAGAATAGTTTTTACATTTATTTATTGATATCTCAAAATTTGTCAGTGGGAATTTTTTTTATTATTATTATTATTTAAAACTACTAAAAGAATCATGAATGAAACCATTAAGAAGCTGAATCAGAACCTAGTATCAATATATCCTTTATCATTCCCATCACAAACAGCGATACTCACCTTAATGACACAAACGTACAAAAGCACAAACTGACTAGCAGGACTTGGGGGTGGAATTGAACTTGAGTTCAGGCCAAGCAATCGAATCTTGTGTGAAAACAGCCTTGATATTAGAAAAGCAGACTTCTATGTCTGCTTGCTGTTCTTTGTGCATTCTGTTTGCATAACCTAATTTTTGGGTGTCGTGCGAGAGCCCGGTGCAGTGAAGTGGTTTGGGAGCGTTTCACCCACAGCTGCATTAGCATGAGAAAACACAAAGATTACATTCAGTATCGTCAGCAATAGAGAAACGCGTCAAGCGTCCTTGATGAGCCCTTGATGCCGCCTTATTTTGCTGAGCTAGAACTAACTTGCCATGTATTGTGTGTACACTTCATTTAAAAACTAATTACCGCAAAAGCGAGTTCATTGTTAAAACACCTTCCTATCCCACGGCCAGTGAAATTCAAGGCGGAAGTTGCCTGGAAGAGCACAGTTTGCTTACTCAGTTTAGCATTTTAATAAACTCAGCGCTGGGAGATGATTGGCTGCTTTACTGAATGCTGGTGTATTTGCAGGTCTTGGAACATTGGGATCCTCACAGCAGTCCCACAACCAGTCTTTCTATCCATGCTATCCCTCACAGCACTCCATATCTGCACTGGCCCTCAGGTCCAGAGTTTGACTTGACCAAACCTGACCCCTATGACCTGTATGAGAAGTCCAGAGCTATCTATGAGAATAGGCGTAAGTAACTGAAGCAACATCTTGCTAGCACCTAAAGCTATTGATGTCTACTTAGCCTGCTGCTAATCTGTGCTGTTTACATACTGTGTACTCTGAAATTTGCACACATGCGCATACACACCAAACATATGGAATTAATGTTGTGCTTATACATTTTCTGCTGTTCTTCCAAAAAAAAGAAAAAGAAAAAGTGTAGCACTGTGTCCTAATGAAGCACAATGCTCTAAAATAGCTAGCATATAGCGATAAAAGCTATCTGTGGTATGTTTTTCTGAGACTAGGATGAGTGACAATACATTTTGGTGATTAGGTTATTATACTCTCTCAGACTCACAAAATACCTTTTTTTTTATTGTTGGCACTTACAATCTATCTTATCCTCCATGGGAAGTGTTTTGAGGTTATCGTGTCTTGTCCTGCTCTGGAGTCTGGGAGAACTTCAGTTGACTTAGTGACTTCAACGTTATCTAACACTTTACATTATTAATGCAGGTACTTTCTTAACCAAATTTAGAGACATTACCACACAGCTTTCTGAACTTTTCGAGGTCCCCCTGTGAACCAACATTCATAGCATTTTAAGTAGCATGTTTAATTCAACAAATAGTTTTAAATACTTTCATTCGCACAAATATGAATATACTTGTATATATTGTATATAAATGTAGGAAATTGCCTGCATAGTGAACAAATACATCTGAACTGTCAATAGAGTTGGTGTTGCATTTCTAAAAGTGCGTTTAGACTGACAGCAATTAAATCAGTGGCGTTTAGTTGTTACATGCATATTTATTAAACTGCTATATATTCTCTCCTATTACTGGTCACTTCATCCTTTCACTGTGCATTTGCATAAAGTTGAACTGTTATACTGTACTAGATTTTCTATGCCATGGTATTTAATCAGCAGGGAGTTGGTGTGCTCTCATTACTGTTTCCTATTCTATACCTCTTCCTTTATGTTGTATATCCTGTTCTCTTTAGTATTCACAGCTGGCAATGACAGCTTGGCAAATGGCAATGGAGATGTTGGTTAATATAGTGTGTTGATGTTGTTTGATAATGTCATTATCTTGTCATGTACAAGGATCCTCCATAGAATTATACGAGGTTTCTGCTTTAGATCTTATTATATCGGAGACACTTTAGCATCTATTGTAGTAGATATGCTGGTGATATAGATATTAGATAATGCTGTGCGCAAACCGTTCAGTTTCTCTTCCAGGTAAGTATGCTTGCTTCCTGAAGGTGAAGTACATTTTGTATATTTTTCTGTGAGCCTCATTTTATTTTATGAGCAAGATGTTTTAAACAGCCTCATTTTGAGAAATTGCACTTCTTTCTAAATTGACAGTGGCAATGTTTCAGTTCGTTCAGTCATAAGACTGGTAATGTTTTATAGCTTTTCGAATGTGCGCTTGATGTTGCAAAGATGATGTAAAGATGTCCAGTTGACGAATAGATGGCTGTTTTTCAAACTCTTGAAACCTTACTCGCTGTAAAAAAAAAAGTTGCTGCCTTAAATTTTTAAGTTCAATCAACTTGGGTGTTAAAGTCATTTCAACTTAAATTACATTAAACTGACTTTTTTTTTTAAAAATTGTTGAATCTTGTAAAACTTATTAAAAAAAGTTGAAATTGCTTAACTTATTTTGGTGAGTTAAAGCTATATAAAAACATGTTGTCATAACAACTTATTAATCATACATTTTTTATAGTCTACAGGAGCTCAGATTTTTACAACAAGGACCGTATTCTGTTTATGTTAATGCATATTTTATGTGATCTTTGATATGTTTAAATGAATAAATCTTAATAATTTGGTAAAGTGTGGTCTGCTGCAGTTGGAGATTTTTTATCAATGTATAGATGTTATTTCCATCACCTAAAATCATATGGCATGTAATGTAATGTAAAAATATGACATGATGAAATTTAGACAGAATTTTAGGATATTTTATCTCTACAAAAACAACAGCAGCAAAAAATTTAAATCAGCACCTCATTGAACAATATTTGATATATCATGTAAAAAGGCTGAAAATAATTTGCTCTGAAATTACTTTATAGGGTAATTTTTAAGTCATAGCAATCTTTTTTTTTTTTTTAGTTAATCTATTCAATGCATGTTTACCATCCTGCTCTTAATGATCACAAATGAGAATATTTAATCTTTTCAAACACACTAATTTAACAACAAATAACAGACAGCAACATTCGCCTAACATTTTAAAGCTTGCTAAATGTCACTCAAAGGCCTCTTTGAACACAAAGAAGTAATTTAATTCTGAGCTGATTCTTTTCAAAAGAGCTAATTTGCGTAAATGAATCAAACTCTAATGCAATTGATTTAAATTAGATGCGCTTAATATTCTCATGACACAAGAGGGCTCAAAACATAAAACCAGCCTACTGCGTCAAATGAAAAGCATGTAAATCATCACATATAAACCAATATATTAGTTTAATATCACCAGCATAGAGGTTGTACATATCGACCAGCTCTAGCAGAAGCAGATGAGGTTGCAGGAATGATGCAGTTGAAGATCCGACCCCCTCTCAGAATCAGAATAAGGCTCAATCTCCACCTGGAAACTATTTTAAATGTGAAATACTAGCATGGCCGTGTCTAAGTTTGCAGGCAGAAATGCGCTGCTCATGCTGATCTCAGTTCCTGCTGCTCTTAAACGGAGGATGAACTTCTGTTTGACACACTGTATAAAATGGCAGTGAATAAAATGAAGAACTGACTTCATACATCCACAAAAAAAAATTGTGAAAGTAGTTGGGTGCACTGTATAATATCTTCATTGCTCTGTAGTCATTGGGCATTATTTTAGCAGTGAGACAGGTATGCATATATTGTCGTAAGTGTATTTCCAGGTGTGTATGTTTATATAAGCATTGATTTATGGGCTGTCCTTGTATCTCTCCCTTTCTTAGAGCCAGGGCTTCCTCGAGCAGCCATCCCAGCTGACCTCTCCGGTGAGTAAATATATCTGCACCCAAAACAGAAACAGTCTGACAGAAAGAGTTCTGCATAAAGTCTGAAATTCATTTTTTCATATATATATATATATATATATATATCCAGTGACCTCTATACATTTTTTGAATGTTAAGTAAAGTTTTTCTTTCTGTAATTTGACTTTTATTTATGTCGCCTGAAATCATATGCCATTTTATAAAAAAATATGACTAACCCCAACCTTAAAAAATGTTAAGGCCATTTTCCTCAAAAGACAAAAACAATCACTTCTGTTTTTGAATCAATACTTCTATTAAAGATATTTGATATATATTGTAAAAAAAGACTGAAAATAGTGTCTCAGTATTTTTGCATTTGCTCTGAAATAGCTTTATATGGTAACAAATTAAAGTTTAAAAGTCTGTTAAAATTTTAAAGACGTGTTTTCAACAAAATACAAAAATAAAACACTTCTTTGAACCGCTTTTGATGTAATTTATATATATATATATAAAATACATCAAATGCTGACAATAGTACTTTTTTTGGTATAAATATCAATTTTATAAAATTTATAATTTTATCAAATTTGGTATCATCAAATAAATGTTATTTTTGTCACCTACAATCATATGATTAAAAACCATACTTCTCTGAACAATATTTGATATATATTTTAAAATGGCTGACAACAATATCTCAGTATCAATGAAAAGTCTGAAATTCATTTTTCATATCCAGTTATTGTGACCTCTGTGAAACAGTACCTGGAGATTCCCGGAGTTTCATTTTTAGTCACTTGTCATTCTCTGCCTTGAAGAGAACATAAAACGAATGAATTAACAAATGAAGACCTCACTGAACAAAAATGGGGGTCTTAAATGTCAACTAGAACAGTAAATTACACTTGAAGAATGAGAATAATCTGGAGAAATGACTTAATTGTAAGTAATAAATGTGTGTCCCTCTTCGATGTCAGCATCAGAGTTCCAGGAGGTGGAGGTGCACCTGCGCAGACAGAAGTCCGGTTTCGGCTTCAGGATCCTGGGCGGAGAGGAACCAGGACAGCCTGTGAGTCCGGAGGCTCAGGAGAAGGCTCGTACTTTAGAACTAACGCACACGCTTCCTAAAACAGAGTTCACTGCCATTGGCTAACATGATAACATGTCTGTTCATCCGCTTTCGTTTCCATACAAAGCTTAAACTGAGACAATAGTAACCGTGCTGTGCCTGTGCAGATCCTGATTGGTGCAATCATCGAGAAGAGCCCAGCAGATAAAGACGGGCGTCTCCGGCCAGGAGACGAGCTGATGTCAGTGGATGGGATCCCTGTGGCCGGAAAACCCCACCGTTACGTCATTGACCTCATGCATGGAGCGGCCCGGACTGGCCAGGTTAAACTCACTGTGCGGCGGAGAGTTCAGCCCACAGGTGAGAATTTGCTTGTTTGTTTCATTTGTCTACTAACAACGTCCAACAGTGAACGTACATTTATTGAACGTACATGGTATTTCCACCCCATATCAAATAATGTATGGTGTTTAATAGCATTCTGTGATGGAAATTACATTTATATAACCACATCATTTGTCTTGCTAAGGCTACCATATTATGTGTCCTAAATATACACAGTTAAACAATACAATTTCACACATAATCATACAGCTCCATTGGAAATTACACAAATTCAAAATACTCTGTTAACAAGTTATATTTACCTTCTTCGCCATCACATGTTTCATAATTCATCTCAAGCACGCAATTCACTGGTTTCGCCATGGTAAACAAGTACTGTCATTTGATTTATATTATAAAAGATTCACTTTATTAGACGCAAATGTGTTTGTTGTGGTGGAGCGTTCATCATTTTTGCAACAAGTATATAAATCATTGTCTCACAATAAATATTGAAATGGTTCATGTTTATTTAGCTCTCTTTTTTAGATGATCATAGTTTTAAATGTAATAATTTTTTCAAAATGGATATAGTTTGAGATAAAAGTCTGGGTAGAGGACACGGTTAAAACAGTAAAATATGTACACACAAAAAATAGCAGAAATAAATTATGGTAGCATGATATAAAGTTTCCGACACAGATTTAATGTTACCTTTATATATCAAAAGAATGTTTTTTTTTTTTTTTTTTTTTTTTAAATAAACCCTTGGGACATAAAACTGCCTGAAACTGAATAAACCACCTTTAAAGGCAAAAGCTTGTTATTTCCTGACAGTTACAGCAATTATAGGTTGTTGTGAAGTATATATTATGTGAAGAAGGTAATGGAGGTAATGAAGCAGGTTCTGTTATACTGTTCCTCTGCGGCTTATTATGTGTCCTCTGTCTCTCTCTCTCTCTCTCTCTCTCTCTCTCTCTCTCTCTCTCTCTCTCTCTCTCTCTCTCTCTCTCTCTCTCTCTCTCTCTCTCTCTCTCTCTCTCTCTCTCTCTCTCTCTCTCTCTCTCTCTCTCTCTCTCTCTCTCTCTCTCTCTCTCTCGTCATCCCTGTCTAATAATTCTTGGTGTAGCTGAGGCTCAGATTTTGTGCCCTTTCAAGCTCTGCCTTCCTCATCCTTCTCGCTGTCTGACTCATCCTTTCATTCTTATCATCCCTGGACAATCGTTTCTCCCACCCTTGCATCTCAGTGGAGCGGTTGAGAAATGTCTGGCTTCTAGCTTTTTTAAGCTCACTGTTTGATCGCTGGGGACTTCAGACCAGCTTTAGCCAAACTATACCATCTCTCTTTCTCTCGTTCTCGCACACGTGTATTAATTGTTGTTGAGACCAGTTTCTAAATCTAAAAATCGTATGTAATGTTTTTAATGTAACTGTTAGAGAGAGAAAAAATCAAGGAAAACTGGTAGAACATCGTGGAAAAGTAATTTTTTTTAAAGTCGTTTCTTATGCTCACCAAAGCTGCATTATTGATCTAATATACGGTAAAAACAGTAATATTTTGAAGTTTTAAAAACTGTTTTCTATTTTATTGTAATTTAAAGTCTAATTCCTGTGAATCCCATTCTAATATGCATTTCTTATATTTATAACACATTGTAATATTTTTCCTATTATTATCAATGTTGAAAACAGTTGTGATGATTAATATTTTTGTGGAATATTTGTTCAAGATTCTCTGATGAATATAAAGAACAGCATTTATTTGAAATTGAATCTTTTGAAACATTACATGTCTTTGCTACCATTTTTAAACAATTTAATTCATACTTGCAGAATAAAAAAAATCGTACTCACTTACTCATTTTTGAACGGTAGTGTGCTATGTAAAGATACTGCAATTTTTACAACTCAAACCCTTCTCCCCAGTTCAAAAAGATATAATTATAATTATATTTCAGCTTTCACTGAAAACTCTTGTGAACTTTTTAGTGGCCATAATATAGAGATGTTCAACTGCTCAATGCAAACAATTAACCAATGAGAATCAAGTATTTGAGAGAATCTTATTCCTCTTAACCATGATATTTCCCATTTAAGTCTGATGAATCAGAATCAGAATGAGTTTTATTGCCAAGTATGTTTACACGTATGAGGAATTGTGAATTCCACAGCACAGACAGAATGACAGCGACAAAACACAAATAATAAAAAATGGAATAAGTGAATAAAAATACACAATATACAAAATAGACAAATATGTGTGTGTTATATACAAATGTGAGGGGGTGTAAATAAGAGGTATGGTGTGCTAAATAATATATAAGCATAAAAATTGCTCATGTTTATTGCCAGTGGTGGGGGCATTTAACTGTTCATTGCCAATGGTGGGGGCATTTAACTGTTCATGAGGAAGATTGCCTGAGGAAAGAAACTTTTCTTGTGCCTGGCTGTTCTGGTGCTCAGTGCTACAACAGTTCAAAGAGGACGTGGCCTGGATGTGAGGAATCCAGAGTGTTTTTTTTGCCTGCCCTTTTACTCATTCTGAATGAGTACAGTTCTTAGAGAGCGGGGAGGGGTGTACAGGTGATTCTCTCAGCGGTCCGGACTATCCACCGTAGTCATCTCAGGTCTGATTTGGTAGCTGAGCTGAACCAGACAGTTATTGAAGTGCAGAGGACAGACTCAATGACTGCAGAGTAGAACTGCATCAGCAGCTAATGTGGCAGGTTGAACTTCAGCTGGCGAAAGAAGTACAACCTCTTCTGGGCCTTTTTCACAATGGAGTCAATGTGATTGTCCCACTTCAGGCCCTGAGAAATGATAGTGCCCAGGAACCTGAATGACTCAACTGTTTCCACAGTGCTGTTCATGATGGTGAGTGGCGGGAGAGTTGGGGTGTTCCTCCTGAAGTTCACTATCATCTCCACTGTTTTGAGTGTGCTCCTGCTCCTGTCTGTAAGCAGACTCGTCACCGTCCTGGATGAGGCCGATGAGTCTGGTGTTGTCTGCAAAGAGGAGCAGTCGTTGGTGTAGAGCGAAAAGAGTAGTGGGGAGAGGACGTAACCCTGGGGGGCACCGGCTCTGATCGTGCGGGTGTTGGATGAAAATGTTCCCAGCCTCACTAGCTGCTGTCTTTCTGTCAGGAAGTTGGTGATCAAATGACAGATGGAGGAGGGAACAGAGAGCTGGGTTAATTTGGACAGGAGGAGGTTCGGAATGAAAGCCGAGCTAAAGTTCACAAACGGGATCCTCACATAAGTTCCTAGTTTGTCCAGATGTTGTAGGATGGGGTGCAGTCCCATGTTGACCGCATCATCCACAGACCTGTTTGCTCGATAAGCAAACTGCAGGGGGTCCAGCATGGGTCCAGTAATGTCATTTAGGTGGGCTAACACCACTCTTTTTGAAATTACTTCATGACCACAGACAATAAAGGGTAATTAAATGAAAATGCCAAGTCAGTGGAAATGTTACTTGAAAAGTCTATTTATTGTACTTTCTCTCTCGCTCTGGTATCTTCAGGTGAACCCTTTCCAGAGAACGGCCGCAGTCCTGGATCTACCCAGCACAGTTCCCCCAGGAGTGACTTCAACTCCAGAATGTTTTGTAACAACTCCGCCCCCACACAAAACTCTGCCCCATCCACCACAGGCTCCTCCCCACCAGACACAGTAACCAATCAGAATCTGCAGCCTAGCGATGTCACCATTCAGCGCAAGGAGAGCGAAGGGTTTGGATTCGTTATTATCAGTTCACTGAACCGGCCTGAAACCGCGGCTGCTGCTGGTAAGGAATGATTATTTTGTATACTTTGTACACTAAAACTTATTTTCTATCTGGGACATTCCTTTACTGTAATAGCTCACTCAGGCTGGCTGATTCAGAGGGTCATAGTGATTTTAAAAGTGCAGCATGTCCTCATAAACCTATGTATTAATAATGGATGCACTTCTATTTGAGGGCCGAATAAGCTAGTTACAATGTTCTAATGCAGCGCCCACTCTCGTATATAAAAACAGCTCCACTAACAGTAGAGGACAGAGAGGAGAAAAAGAGCTCTCTCAATGTATTGCGAAAAAAGTATCTGTGCATGTCTGTTATCAGCCGTGCCTCATAAGATTGGCCGCATCATTGAGGGAAGTCCAGCAGACCACTGTGGGAAGCTCAAGGTTGGAGATCGCATACTGGCCGTCAACCATCAGTCTATTGTCAACATGCCGCACGCAGACATCGTCAAACTGATCAAGGACGCTGGACTCACTGTCACACTCAGGATCATCCCTCAGGAGGGTGAGTGGACATCTGTGAACCCTAATTCTGCTACTAATGTGACTTTGTAGGTCGACTCCCTGAACATTGCTCTGTCATGTCAACTGGCTCAACCAATGGTTGAAGGGGGACATTATTTTTCCCATGTGCCTAGTGCTGCAGAAATTTCATGCTGTAGCTTTATAATGACAATTATTTTAAACGAACTACTTTTCATACATAATTCAAGTGTTTTTAGAAGTTGAAATGTGATTGGATGTTTTTTCTGAATGGTATTTTGTGATATAAATGCAGGAGGTTCATGAGATTGTGACTGAAATGCCAGTGCTAAAATAAATAAGCAAAAAGGTTTTAAAAATAACATAACAATATATCCAAATAAAATTTACAACATAATAAATAGCTTATATTGATGGCCGAATGACATGTGCAAACATACTTGATACAGAAATTAAATGTGTCTCTGAAACACAAATATAAATCCGATCTTAGGTATAGTTCAGCCAAAAAGAAAAATTCTGTCATAATTTACTCACAAAAAAAAAAGTCAGGTTTGTAGTGACATGAGGGTGAGTTAATGACAACAGAATGTAGATTTTTGCCCTTTTTAGGGCCGAATTCAATAAATGGTTGCACAAAAAAAAAAATCACCAACCATCAGAAATCCACTTTAACTACACAACTTTCCTTTCTATGTAAATTATAATTATTATGGGGCCTATTTACACTGGTCACTGTTCCATTTAAACATGGCCACATAAATGTGTCTCCGAAACACAAATAGTAATCCGATCTTCAATTTCTGTGCTACTGTATATGCAAATTCAATGTCACCGAAAGCAAAAGATGTATTGCATTTTATTTATCATCAGCTGATTTCCAGATCAAAGACCGCAATAGGAGAGAGAGCACTGGTAGGAGAATTTAATCTCACTACTTTCAGTTTCATTTGCGGCAGTTTGCGCGTCAGCTTGTTGAAGTGATACTCATATACAGCGGGCCATAACCGTGGCTTCACATGGCTTCAACGACCAGATGCATTTATACTTCAGTTGAATATGAATTGCGTCTCAAACCACCTCCTGAAGTGGTTTGAATGATCGGGTTGCTATCTATCTCTAAAGAGTTTCGGAGGGCATTTACACCCGGTCTTGCATGAAGTGGCCAATGCATGAAGTGGCCAAGTATAAATAGGACCATAGATTCTGCCTTATAAAAAAAAATGTACAGATTAGTAAAGTATGCCAGATTATTGTAGACTGGCATATACTCAATGAACTAAGACTCAGTTTTCCATCTTTTCTGCATTCACAGTTTGTCTGGGTGTGTTAATTTATTTGCATAATTATTTTAGAGCATTTAGTGCTAAAACAACACAGATAGTACATGGAACAAAAAAAAAAAAAACTATCAAGGGCCATAATTAATTTTGGGTACTAATGCAACGCTTAAACTGCTATTTTAGAAGATATGTTACAAAAAGCAGCTTACCTTTTTGTCTTTTCTCCATTTTTCAGAGACGAACAGCACTCCTTCGGCAGGCAGCTCAGAGAAGCAGAGCCCTATGGCCCAGCCCAGTCCAGTTTGCCAAGCCAGCACTGTGAACCAGACTGGTGCTGCCCCTCTACCCAACTCCAACCCTCACACCAACTCTGCACCTCAACCCAGTCCCATAATGCAGCCTAGTTCAGAAGCACAAGCAAGCCCTGTCAATCAAACCAGCCCAGCCAATCATCCCAGCTCAGTGACCCAACAGAACCTGTCCACCCAGCCCTCCACAGTGCCAGTACAGATCTACAGCCACGACAGCAGGCAAGACACCAACTCAAATTACTTAAATATTGGTTTAAGTATTAAGATTTTAGGTTAAGCTAAACATGGTGTTTGGCAATGGATTGATTAAAGTGGTTGACAGGGCAGTTGCTTGGGCATTTGTAGAGATGCACCAGTATTGAAATGCACTGGTTACATTCACCGTTACTTTCACAGGTGAAACCGAGTCAGTTTCAATAGAAATGTGTGTGATTGGGAGTTTTGCATGAGGGCGGAAAATTTCCTCACACAGATTTCGCAATGGGTTCAAGTTGGTCACATGATTTGCTACGTTGACTAACAGAAAGCTGCTCAGTTTAAAAAGTAACTTCTGTGTGAGCTGTGAATCATGCATTGTTACACTATTGGCAATGGAAAAAAAAAATGTGTGACCTCACCTTAAAGGCCCACTGAAGTGCCTTAAAACGCGCAGCATTATTCAATGTGTTGACGTAATTTCCACTAAAACAGGAAGACAGGGCGGGACATATCAAACAGCTCCTCCCCTTTTTAAAATAGCCAATAGCTTTTAGTTTATATCACAGCTCAGCCAGAGCCGTTGACCTCGATAAAGCCGCAGTTTCCTCCTAATCTCTAACCGTTCCCCCCCTCATCTCCTCCATATCGCTTTAAAATACAGCATTCTGTGCAGAATTCAAATGATTCCGATAAGTTTTCTGCGCATTTTGTAAATTTCTTTTTGGAACACACTAGTTTATAGATAACAGGAAGGCCGCGTGTCCACCAAAGCGTTTTTAGTCAGCTGAAAACTGGCTGGGTAAAAAGTGACAGTGATGAGTGCTGCGTTTTACCCAAAGTTGAACATTCTTCAACTCTCGGCGACCGGTAAAAAACGCCGGGCGCTCAGCACTTCAGCGTGAAAAATACGCTCAGCGCCTCGTTACGCTCATGCCGTTTTAAAAACGCTTTGGTGGACACACGGCCTAAGGCCTGTTCACACCGGGACGAATTTCGCGCGCGATATTCGCCGACGTTTAACGCCTCGTGACTAAACAAAGGGCGTCAATGTGAGTGTGCACACCGACGCAAAAAACGCCACGCGTAAAAGCGTCATTTTTTTTAAAAACCCCTCGGGATCGTTTTTTTAGTTTGACGCGCCGCGTCAAAAAACTACCCGACCAATGAGATTGGCGCTTTTGCTCACGTGTCTGGAGCTTCTGAAGTTACAGTAAAACAGAACTTGGGGGCGCTCAAACACAAAACGGTCTTGCCAAGCACACATACGTAACGGCGAAGAAGATATACGCCAAGTAGCGTCTACACTGCCGGGAAGAAATAAGACGAGGAAGATGCAAGGCAAGATGAATGTAGCTGCTAGAGCTGCTGGTCTCGTTTCTGTCGGAACATAAAGACCTATATGACAAACGCGACAGCGACTAAATGTAAATCTTAATAAAAGAGAATGTTATGAGCTGGTATTGCAGAGCAAATGGGCGCCATCTAATGTCAAAGAATGAATTTGCATGTCCACTCGGCTCATCGTCAGCGAAAATCGCTTGGGTGTGAACACAAAAAACGCGTTGAAAAACGCTGGCGAATAACGCGCGCCGATATTCGTCCCGGTGTGTACGAGCCTTGATTGCATTTCAAGGTACACATTTACATTCTTATCAGTTCCTGTTTTCCCTGGGAGTCAAACCCATGACCTTGACGTTGCAAGCGCCAATGCTCTACTGTTTGAGCTACAGGAAAGCTTAAGCTAAAAACTAAAGCGTATTTACTATCAGTTGTTTTAAATACTACAAGTAAATTTAAATACATAGTATGAAAGATGGATATTTTGATGACGATATGGAAGCGATGTAACGTTATTGTGTGTCCCTGATCATTTGAATGGACACATTCAAGTCCAAAATTTCTTGACAAGTTAAAACTCTACTAAAGTTCACTATGACAGACTCTCTCACTATTAGGTTGTTGCGTAAAATCACTTATCTCTTACAGAACTGAATAATTTACCTGCATGGCTCTTTAAAACAGTTTTTAATCATTTATATAGCCTGCAGGGACCAATGATTTCACTTCCTCTCCATGCTCTCTAAAGTTTCAATATACACCCTAGAGCTCCTCAGGCTTCGCTATTTTCAATAGAACATTATCCTGCATTAAACTTTAAAATTCATTAGAGCGTTAGTCTGTCAGTGGCAAGTCGTTTTTGACGCATCCACTGGAAAACAGATGTAAACAGAGTAAATATTATGAGAATCTTCTCATTCCCATATATGTATATTACAGTTTTTGTTGCTGATAAAAGAAAGTGTCATAAAAAATCACCAGCGAAGTAGTCCAATTCTCACATATTCCAACTCTGTGCGTAATATTCGACGGCATTAGTGCTCACTGTTTCTGCTCTGATTGGTTATTCAGCTACAGGTCAGAGGTGAAAGCAAGACAGGATGTAAAGCCCGATATTCGGCAGCCGTTCACTGATTACCGCCAACCCCCGGTGGACTACAGACACCCTCCTGTGGCAGATTACCGACAGCCGCCAACGCTGGATTACAGACACCCCCCTCTGCTGGACTACAGACAGCTGTCCACTGACCCTCGCACCTTTCCCTTACCGGACTACAGGATGCCACAGGTAACTCTGCTGCCACTCTGTATACACTCACACACTGTGCTACAGGTGCTAATGGGGTAGAAATACACACTGACATCATAATTCATCACTAATCAGTAGATTAATATCATGAAATGACTATGTTAAAGTGTATTAGGTGGCACTGACAGCTCATTTCCTTAAAGTATGCATTATGCATGTTCATAAAATGCCCATAAAGTCCTTAATTCGTGTGTGTGTGTGTGTGTGTGTGTGTGTGCATGTGCGTACGTGTGTGTGTGTGTGTGTGTTGGCAGGATTTTGATTTCTTCACAGTTGAGTTGGAAAAGGGCATGAAAGGTTTTGGCTTTAGTATCCGTGGAGGTCGCGAGTATAAGATGGACCTGTTCGTTCTGCGATTGGCTGAAGATGGACCAGCCATACGCAATGGGAGGATGAGGGTGAGCTGAAATCACTTCCTATCTATCTATCTATCTATCTATCTATCTATCTATCTATCTATCTATCTATCTATCTATCTATCTATCTATCTATCTATCTATCTATCTATCTATCTATCTATCTATCTATCTATCTATCTATCTATCTGTCTGTCTGTCTGTCTGTCTGTCTGTCTGTCTCTGCAGTTGATCTGTTCCCTGTTAAGCTCTTGTCTATAATGAAGCTGTCAGAGCTAATAGTCCCCTTAGGGACCTCTCATTCCGTCCTTTTCATATTTAGTCCATTACCTGACCGTTCACTTCCATTTAGGAGCCTCAGTTCTGACTGTAAACATCATCCTGTCTTCTTTCAGGGTGTGAATATAGCGCAGCACAATATGCCTTTTGAAACTATAATTAGTTTGAGGTGGAACAGACCTGTGGTATTTAAAAAGTCCATTAAGCATGAAGTCATATAGCCCCCAGCAGACACTGCTGCTGCTGTAATTTCCAAACATACCCTCTAGATAATCCGAAAACATGATCGAGCTGCTGACGCTGCTAGCTGTGATGCTTTTACTAACATTCTCCAGAGGTCAGAGGAACCTGACCCAGACACAGTGCAGGAACAAAAAAAACGAGAGACTCCTTGTCAATAATGAGAGAGTTGAGGTCATACTGCTCTCTGCCCCTAATTTAAACAAGATCTTAATGAGTCATAGAAAACTTGCCGCCCGTCGCTGGCAGCGACCTGCTCAGACTTCCACATTATCCAGACCATTTGAGAGGAATTCTCCATTTGTTACTCTAATTGGCTCGTTCATTTTCCTCAGCCCCTGGCCAATTAGTTCACAGACACAAGACAAGTTCGATGCACCTACATGCTTACCATCAGCATATATGTGGGCACATTTTCCTGTTATGGCACCAATATATTCATAATTATGCAAACTTTTCTACATTATTTATTTGTCTGTTAAGGGAAAACATTATAGTATTTGTTAAGGATGTGATTTTTTTTTTCTTAATTGCCTTTTTTTTATTCATATTATTTTATGTTTTATTGTCCAATAACCAATATGCAGAACTGAATTATTTATATGTATTAATTGGTATGTATTATGTACACTGTAAAAAAATATATGAAATGTAAGTTATGACAACATATTTTTTTATATTGCTTTAACTCATCAAAATAAGTTAAGCAATTTTCAACTTTTTTTTAAGTTATACAAGATTCAACAAATTTTTTTTTCAGTCAGTTTAATGTAATTTAAGTTGAAGTGACGTAAACTTCCAAGTTGATTGTACATTTAAGGCAGCAACGTTTTTTTTTACAGTGTAGTTATGTAGTTTGCATTATGTCATACTACAGTATATAAAAACAATATACATTATTATGTAATACAAATATTTATTGTGCTTTTTAAAAATATAATACATTATAAAATGTATATGTATATATATATATATTACTAGTCTCTGTAATTAAATAGTCAATTGACTTTCAGTAACCGAAAAGAACATATTGTCATGTTGAACTATTTTAACTTTATTTTTCAAACTATTGTTAATATAACCTTTTAAAAATGGATAGGTGGCAGACCAAGACACCTGCATGTGAACATAGAACAACTTTTTAAAAATGCCAAAGACTGACAGATATTTCACAATTGAACAAGCTAAAAACAACTATAACCTTTTTATCGCACAAAACTATCTTAGCCCACGAAAAAAAACTGAGCCTTACGGAAGCATAATATGCATAATAACAGGAATATTGCTCGAGTCACAGCAAATGATATGACAGTCTGACAGTAATTGTCTTGAAATGTATTGTTGAAGGTGGTGGATTCGTTACAAAAGGCACTTTGATGGCTGTGCTTTAATGAACATGAAATTAGAGACAGCACCACAGCTAAAAAATATTAAGATAAAACATAAATGATGAAATAAAATTCTAGACCCCACTGATTGACTAGTCACTTGGTGGGCAACTAATTATAGTATCGATCATACCGCCTTCCTTTATATCAAGGAAAGGCAATTAACCAGTCCCTTGTTATCCTCAATATCACACACCTTATTCACAGTTGATGAAGAGCATCAGTGTTGTACCTCGTAGGACCCTCGTACCCATGATTCATTCATTTAGTGATGCTAATTCTGAAATTAATTGGTACTCTATCTCATTCATGACTGCTAATGCTGATTAGAGCTTAACCAAAACAGCCGACATGAGTTATGGATCTATATTGATCCTACTGAATAATTATCCTTAATAAATGATAGTCATATTATCATTAAAACCAGAGAGGGTGCAGTTCAAAGCTGTCGAAAAAGAATTACTGCTGTTCTGTGTGTACATTTGCACATCTATCTTCACAAATTTGGGTATTTGAATACTAGCTAAACATTCTGTTGAAATGTTTGTTTAGGTTGATTTTTTCCATACAGAGATAAAAGACATATTTTGTCTTTTTTGCAGGTTGGTGATCAGATTATTGAAATAAATGGGGAGACCACGAGGGATATGACCCACGCTCGGGCTATTGAGCTCATCAAATCGGGTGGCCGTAGAGTTCGCCTGCTGCTCAAGAGAGGCACAGGGCAGGTCCCTGAGTATGGTAGGTTTACACGGACTGTCTGAACACATACCTTACTGCTCAGAATTGCCAACAGTATTAGATCACTTAGGTTACAGGGCCCCAAAGAGATGGAGTAACCATCAGCACAAGACAAATATTACCTCATCTTTGGAAGAGGTAATATTTTATTGGGTAACGAATAGAATGTGAATAGCATAACTTATTTGGCATACATTTCATATTTTGTGAAATAATGCACTGACTTACCGTATTCACACCAGGAACGAAATTTGTCTGGTTGACAGGTTTCATATGATATATTATTATCAATATTTTGCTCTCAATAGGAATTTATAGGTACTTTTCATCAGTTTCAGTTTTCCTCAATCGCTTTGACTTCTTTTTTTGAAACAGTCTTAACATTCTCTAAACTGTAAGTGCAATTGTCAGAACTGTTCTACAAAATGTAGTAACACCACCCAAACCGTTTATTTCATGCTTCAAAACTAGTTATTGTGTCATTGAATTGGCCAATGACACCTAAATAAACGTTTTTTTGTCATCACGTGAGCCACACTGGTCATAATGTGTTGTTGTTTTTTTCACCATGGCAGTCAACTCTGGAAATGTTTGTTATCTTGTATATAAATTTCATTTTTGTTCTACTTTTTTGTTGACACTGCCTGCTTACTATACTATACAAGAATATCGGTTTTGTCTAGCTGAATGCTATTGTATATCAAACTCACAAATAACTTTTTTAGATACAGATTTCAACAGTAGGTAATATTTTACTGGGAGAATCAATACTGTAATAGACAGAAAAAGAATGCACATTTATATGTATACAGTACATTTATTTTGTATATTTTGTTTATTTTATACATGATGTCTGAGAATGGATCATTTTGCATGTGATGGCTCAATGTACTTACTCTTTTGCTAAAATGTGCCAAAACATGTACAAATGGAATAAAGTGTCTTTTAGAATTTCAAATCTGGTAAGAAGAAAATTGTTTAGAGATCTGAACTTATCGTTTTGAGAGAACAAATTCCCATTTTAAGAGCCAAAGCGATGGAGAAAAATCATTCTCTTGTACACTAATATTTAATAACCCCAAAAATTATTTTTGTAATACATTAAACTCCTTCCATTTTCCTGCTAACACAACACTATGACAGCATGCTCTTGGTATTAATGCAGGTATAGCTGTAGTCTTCTTCTATTTCATCAATGTTATTGGCTGTTAGTGAATAATTCTCACTTCCTTTCTCAAGTTTCCTCACTGAATACTATCTCAGCACTGAACTTAATACTGTCTTAGCCTTTGGCTGCTGTTCTAACCCTAATGATTGGTCTAGGTTGTTACTTCACCTCTTATAGGAATGGTACCTTCCAGTCTCTCCATGTGCATGAAAAGTGACAACCATGGCTCCCCCTATTTCTTCCTAATGGGCCATCCTAAAGACACGGTTTGTAATAGAGTGCATGCGTTCTAACACATAAGTCCATCATTCTTTCTTGGAGTGCTGTGGTTTGGATTGGTTAGTTCTACTCACTCTTGTGATTTGTGTGTGTGTGTGTGCGTGCGTCTATGCGTCTTTATATATATATATATATATATTATTTAATTTATTTTTCATTTATATGTGAATTATAATTTTGTATCTGAATCTGTTAATGATTTTAACTCTATTCCTAAAATGATGAAAGTCTATTCAGATTTTAGATTCATACATAGAGCACCTATAACATAAACACAAAAAACGTCATTATTGGCTTTCACGATAGACACTAAGGGGTGTGAGAAAGAGACCTTGATTGGAGGACTATACTGGTTGCCTTTTATAGTCACTACGAGTTACGTCGTGACGACGAATGGGGTTTCGCTTAGAAAGCCTATCAACTTTGAGTATTACAAAACGAGCCAATGGCAAATAAATGCAATGGCGTAACTCCGCCCCACCTTGTGGGTATATAAGGAAGTAAGTTGGCAACACACAGTTCTGCTTCAGAGCCAAGAGGTCCTCTTGACTCCAGCCTATTCTCTGACTATCTTCGAGAATTTTCGAGACGAGCACCTTCCAGTTCGTGTTGGTGTGACGGCGTGTTCCAGCAAGTTTCACATTCCTGCCTGCTGATCTGTGTAGTGGTCTGCAACAGCGTGTGTGTCTCTCCCTGGACGCTTCAGCACAGCTGCGAGCTTTCCTCTCACAAAAGAGCTTGCACGTGGCACGTCTTTTTAAAGATGTCTCGCCTGTGCACTTCTGGGTGTGGTCATTCCGTGTTGTTGTCCGATGGGCACGAGCGCTGTCTTTCGTGTTTGGGCTTAGAACACGCTAAGGCAGCGTTCGCGGATGAGTCAGGTTCTCACTACGGGAACATGACCATCGCTGAGCTGTGGTCAAGACTCCCCTCTGCCACACCCCAATCTATCCCCTACACGAGAGGTGATACTGTCGATAGCCGCGTCACAAGGTGGGCTGGACTCTTCCGAGGATGAAGATTCGACTGTGCTGCCACCCTCGGGTGTGCCATTATTGCCCGAGTCCGACCCCCATCAACTGACAGGTATGCTTGCCCGGGCCGCCCCCAGCATCGGACTAGCATGGTGTCCAGTTCATCCAGTTCCTCTCTTCCCGGAGGTGCATGAGGAGGTAATGAGATCCTGGAAGTCTCTGTTGTCTTCCCGTGATAGTTCGGCCACCTCCTCCGCCTTCTCTTCCCTGGACGGGGCCGCGGCTAAAGGGTACACTGGGATTACCCCTGTTGAATGCTCTGTTACGATGCAACTGTGTCCTCAGAGTGCTTCAACGTGGCATCTTATAGAGCTGCGGGCCAAGCCGCCGCCTCTCTGCATGCCATGGCCATCCTTCAGGTCTACCAGGCCAGGATGCTCAGGGACATGCACCAGGGTGGAGCTGACCAAGGGCTCTTTGATGAGCTGCTTGCCGCCACCGATCTCTTTTTCCGGGTGACGAAGGTGGCCACACGCTCCCTTGGCCAGGTGATATCCACAGCAGTGGTCCAGGAAAGACACCTCTGGCTAAACTTGGCCGATTTGAGAGAGTCCGAGCGAACCCGTTTCCTCGACTCTCCTATATCCCAGGGTGGCCTCTTCAGCGGCACGGTCGAGGACTTCGCCCAACAGTTCTCGACCGCCCAGAAACAGACTGAGGCCATTAAACATATACTGCCCCTCTGTTCGCCCCCGAGGGTGCCCTCCTGCGACTCCCGCCCCTCCCTCCCAAACTCGGTATCCTTTTGAGGGGCAGGCATACCAGTACACTGTTGGTGTATTCGGGTTAGCCCTGTCTCTTCGCGTCTTCACGAAAGTCATCGAGGCAGCCCTTGTGCCGCAACGGCTACACGGGGTTCGCATCCTGACATCCGCGACAGCCCCTCCCTGGCCAATTCCTCTCTGAGGAAGGACCTTCTTTCTCAGAGATGGGGTACCCTCTGGCACCCTCGTCCCGATCTATGGAATTTATGGTTTGAGTACCCTACCACTCGTGGTGGCTACCATCACTTCCGCTCGGCCCTGTCTACGGACACGCCTATGCGTTGAAGAACAACCTCTTCGTCACCTGGTGCTCTTCTCACCGAGAAGACCCCAGAAAAATGCCAGATCAGTGTCGTGCTTACTTTCCTGCAAAGTAAGCACGACACTTACTTTCCTGCAACATGGGTTGGAGCGAAGGCTGTCTCCCTCCTTACTAAGTGTATGTTGCCGCTATCGCCGCACATTACTATGCAGTTGAAGGTAAGTCCTTGGAGGAAGCATGACCTGGTCATCAAGTTCCTCTCTTACCCTCTTGGGACCTTGCAGTGGTTCTATCTGCCCTGCGAGAGCTCCCCTTGAGCCTTTGTAATCAGTCTGTCTATGGTGACAGCGTTCTGGTTGCATTGGCCCCCATCAAGAGGCTAGGAGACCTGCAGGCATTTTCGGTTGACGAAGCGTGCCTGGAATTCGGGACGGCTACTCTCACGTGATCCTGAGACCCCGGCCTGGATACGTGCCCAAGGTTCCCACCTGGATTAGGTGCTGAACCTGCAAGCGCTGCCCTCGGAGGAGGCAGACCCAGCCTTGGCACTGCTCTGTTCAGTACGCGCCCTCTGTGCTTACGTAGACAGAACGCAGTGTTTCAGGACCTCAGACCAGCTCTTTGTCCGTATGGTGAGAAGCTGAAGGGAAAGGCTCTCTCCAAGCAAAGGTTGTCTCACTGGATATTGGCTTACCAGCAGCAAGGTCGACCATGTCCCCTTGGGGTTCGGGCACACTCCACCGGAGTTATACTCAAAGTTGATAGGCTTTCTAAGCTAAACCCCATTCGTCGTCACGACGTAACGTCTCCGTTCCCTACTCAGGGAACGAGGGTTACATACGTAACCGAGACATTATCACGGCAGTAGAGAATCACACACATTATGTGTTGGTTTGCGTAAAAAATGGTCAGGAGAACATTTAGAAAAGTGTTTTTTTTTTTTAAGTCTGCTTTAGACTTTCAGTTAAGGGGCTGAAAATATATAAAGAAAAAATATACTTTTTAGTCTTCTGTCAAATTTGTTGTTCAACTTATGTAGATATTTACAGTATGTATTGCTTTGAAATGGCTTAAACGTGTAATGTTTTTCAATTAGAGAAACCATCGTTTCCATTGTCTATTGTTGCCAGGTAAAAATCTAGATTTAAAAAAAACGGTAATTACCGTAATTTGTTTCACGGAAATTATACATTTAGGTATTGAGTGATATTAAGTAACTAAAACAAGTCATGTTTTTAGCAAATGAACAACACAGTGAATATTTTATCATTTTATTTTGCACTATAAATTTTGTTTTGCAATATAATTATAAATAGTAATAAACACCCATCTTACCTGCAAATATTTTTACTACAATTTTTTAAATATGCAGTGCTATAGAGGGATATCCTAACTTTTTTAGTGATGACACAAACGAATCATTGAACATTTTGATGAAGTTTGCCACTAAATATTTATAGGCGCTCTCGTACTCAAACATTGTGATGCAAGCAAAACTGACCTATCACTGCGGTCTTTAGGACAACTAATGCCATAATAAAAAGTGCATTAAAATCATTGTGATTATAACATTGATTCATTTAAATCACCAGCTAATAATACCAGCGATCTGAACCGGTTCAAGAAACGAAAACCAAAAACGGAAATGAACAAAGTTTTTACAGCAACATAAAAACGAAGACGAACGACCATTAAAGCATTTTGTTTAGTTAAAATGAATGGCAGGTAATATCCAGCGTGGTTGGTGTTTTGAAACCAGCGAATAATCCAGGTTAGTGTAGAACCGCTACTATTCAGGAAATGGGGGGGGGGGGGGGGGGGGGGGGATTATTTTAAATAACTAATCACCATGTTTATAAAGTTAGTATTGTAGCTTTATGTATGATCAAACACTTGCATGTGTCGTGTCGTTATATTATTTTTACCTAAATCAAGCTCAAATGGTTTGTGTTTTGTCAGTCATTAACGGCCGCATCTGAGGCAGTAAGTGCATCACATTACGTTTTCATAAACTTAAACATAAAAGGTTATTGTAGCTATGTGGGTGCTCCGATCTTGTGTTATAAAAGTGTTACGCACAGGCTGTATTGGCTATGACTAGACAACAAATACCAGATTAATACACTCTTCTCCCCTAATCAAATACATAAATCATTAGCCTTTAAAAACATTTTGTTTTATTTAATAAAGAAAACGCTGTACTTATTCAAAGAACCAGTTCTTTATGTACCCTTGCACCGCAAAGAAGCAGAGGCCCTCTCCAAAATGTGTGCAGCACTTAATTCTAAATGGAAGCGGGTGGAGCTACTGTATGAGGCTTTGCCAACAGTTTGACAGTTACAAGGTTTAGTCACAAGCTCTTTATAGTAGAAAAATGTATTCAAACTCTTGTATACTGTAACTTGTATTTTTTCTAATAAAACCGTTTTCGAAATGGCAATGTTACAGAAGGAATGGAAATTTTCTATTTTTTATTTTAATTTTTTCGTTTTTAAGCCCTGTTGAATATATTTAAATTTTCTAAATATTATCTAACCATACTTCATTTAGGCCATACAATGAAAGCACTGAGGTACAGTACATACCGTATCTATTGAAGTTTCCGCATTGAAAGAGAGGCAGCATACCACCCCTACATGCACATACACTCTTAACATTCGTGTAACTGACTTTCCATTGTGATGAAAACTTGACGCCTATGAAGTCCTAACAGCCACAGGAACAACCCTGTGCACATTTGCCTTTAAATTCCGCTCACACTCGGCCATCTCTTCTCATGCGTTTAGTATCCCACTGCGATCTCTGTGGCGCTACAAAAGCCTTGCTGAAATACAGCCATCATGAGATGGTTGTGTCAGCCTCTATGGTTTTATATTCCATACCTGTCTTCTATTTCACAGTGAAAAACCCTTTATGAGCTTGGATTCATCTTTTTCCTCTATAGGCCAGTGATTTCTGCTGCACCTGGGCCATATAAAGTGGGGAAAATGTACCCCAGTAGAGTAAGAAAAGGCTAGCATAGATACAATGATACATAATTGTTCACTCTTGCTATATTTCCCTGAGCTTGAATCTTGATGATAATAAGATATTGTTGTAAATGTTTTGTTTTCTTCAGTTGAAATGATCTCCCAGCCAAATTGTTTGTTAGCACACGTTAAAATGGCCGCCTGGGTGCATATGTGCTGCGTAGGTTGGTAGAAACCTGAGCAGTCCTCAATGTATCCTGCAATATATGCGGTGACAGGTAGGATTAGGTTGTGGAATGGGTTGTGGATTGTGGGCGTCACTCCAATATAAGCATCTGGGTATGAAGTGATCTGTGTGAGTGTATGTGTGGGGAAGCGGATAGCGGGAGAAGCCAATGGGAAAACCTGATTATTCCACACCCTGTAGACATATGAAACTGGTTTACTGGCTGAAAACTATCCCATTTCCTGTCAGTAATGGAGGTTGGTTTTGTATGGTATGTAAACAATGTAATATAGTGCTCTGTGTCAAACAGTGGCACTTTACAAAAAGTGGCAATTCCATTCCATGCTATCAGTTGGTAATACCATAGTACTTTGATATTTACCATGGTAATGTATTTATATGGTACTCCAACATATTTCAAACATACTTTGTGGAACTATTACAATAGGTACCGAATCCATAGCATTTTCATTCATAGAAGACATTGTACCATGTGCAAAAAAACTATGGTAATACCATTGCATTTTTTGGTAGTGTGGTTTGTGTGATTTTTATTTATTTATTTCTCCCAAACCAGTTCAGCGCAAACCCTGCCGCACAGCCAAATCTAATGCTTGTATTGGTCATGACAATCTCAGTGTCAACATAACACTGAAACAAATACTATCCCCTAACCCTAATCTAAACCCTTACCCTAACCTAATTTTAGCATTGGTAGATAGCATTACTGTTTGTCACAATCGGATCCATGATATTTCTGAACTGTGAACTGAAACCATGAAGTCTGAACTTTTATTGAAAGGTGACTACAGGATTGAGTTGCGAAATGAAATTGGGGTTTGCCCTGAACTGGTTTGGGGGGGGGATCATGCGATTCGTGTGGTTCATGTTGATTTAGTTAGTGCTTCTTTGCCAGTGTTAGCTTTGGTTCCTCTATTTACTTTTCTATTCTGGTTTGTGAGTGTGTTTCCAGTTGTGCTTCTTTCTTTGGATGTAACTGTTGCCTTTTTTCCCCAGCAGATAGTCCCGCCCCTTGGGATGCTCACACTACAGCCTCCCCAAGTCTGTCGGAAGTAGCACCACCCCTCGACAGCTTATCTAATCCATCAGCTTCTTCTCATGTGAACCCACCCACTGACCCACCTCATACATTGTCCTTGGAAGCAGCAGGTCCAGACTGTTCCCAGGGTCCTAGAGGCCCAGAGAGTAGGGCTCTGGAGCAGGCCAGTGTGGGGAAGAGGTCAGCCATTGCAGGTGGAGTTGGGGGTGGGACCAAGCAGAGGGAGAGTAACAGGACCAACCGTCGCTCTAGTGGAGGGAAGGTTCAGCAACTATACCTTGATGAACTTGCGGGAGAGCCCAAATCCCACAAAAGCAGCCGGGCAAAGTCCAAAGAGCGCAGGAGGGAACGGAGCAACACGCCATCTCGAAAGCGAGACTCGCCCAAAACTTCCCCAACTGACACCAATATGAATGGGGGAAACAGATGCCTAGATGGTAGCAACAACCAACAAGGAGCTCTGGTGCCATTCAAAGCCCTACCAAAGGAACCAGAGAAAAGGCAAATGAGCCAAGAGAGTCATCCCAGCCACAACTCCAAGACCAGCAGCAGTGCATCAGGCAGGAAGGCCACAGTATCCCCAGGGCCCTGGAAGATCCCTGGTACGGACAAGCTACCCAGTACCCTACGCTCAGCCACCTCCACCATCAGCAGATAACATCTCACCCCAATCTCAGGCCCAAGTTTAGACCTTACTTTGGCTTTGAATTCTTTCAGCCAACTCTTGGACCAGCACTGGGCCATGATCTGCCTTTTTTGGGACTAGTTGGGCTTGGGCTCTGCTTGATTGCTTTTCACAGGCTTGCTCTACTTAGTAGAGATCTGTTTTAAAATTGACTAGGTACCACCCTCCCACAGTCCTCACTAAAGACCTTTCCATGCATTTCTAGACAGAGCATTTTTTATTTATATTTTATTCTAAGTTATTTTAACAGATATGACACCCACCACCTTAAGAACTGGAAGCATTCACTCCAAAAATTGAACCACGGTAGAATGAGTGATGCATGTAGCGTGCTAAAAAAAACCCGGACTGGTTTGAACTGTTGGGGGAAAGCACTCAAGACTCAGAGATGTACATGCATAGAAAACCACTTACTGACTCTAAACCACCACTGGTGGCTACAGCAATTTTTATACACTTTCATAAAAAATGAAGAAAACTGAAGGAGTTACCTGACATACAGTTTTTGTGTATTTGAAGAATGAATATGATTAAAAAGATTCTATATGAGCGGACACTCGACTATGGAACTCTGCCTTAAAGACTGACCTGCAGATGTCTGTATAGGGTTGGTAAAATGAATATAGAAATAGATATATTATATGACTATATATATGTGAGACATATTGTAAATATGGTCTTTATACACCATTGTGACCCCATACTGGAGTATTGACATCATTCATGGTGTAAATTAGAAGAGTGTAATCTAGAATTCATTCCCACTCCACTCTTAGGTGCGTTCCCACTGACAGCGATTTAAACTCAAGTGGTTGCTACTAGGTGTTCCTACTCAACTCAATATTGAACTGTAAAAGGAAACTGATCACATGACCTACACTGTCTACACTGACATTGGTAGTCGCCACCTCCAGTTCAAGATCTCAACAGCAACAGTCGCTTGTGTCACTTAAAATCGCCAACCCTCACTGATGATGAATGACTTGCAGTTGCTGAAAATTGCTATCAGTGTGAGCACCCCTTGAGACCACTGATTGCTCAGCTGCTCTGTTAATTTCTGAAGGAGCCAGTGGGCTTTGACCTTCTCTTGACTCTGTCATCACTAGTTTAGTCTATTCTCCCTTTACTTGTCTACATGAACAAAGCAATTTGAAGGATCCCAAGATGGTTTCGATGAAATATAGAAAGGATTTGATTAGGGCAGAGTGCCTTATGCCAGGGTTTCCAATCCTGGAGGGCCACTGTCTTGCTAAGTTTAACTCCAATCCTAATTAAACACGCCTGACCAAGGTCTTCAGAATGACTAGAAATGTCCAGGTAAGTGTTTTGGGGCAGGTTTTGAGATAAACTCCTCAGGACATTGGCCCTCCAAGAGCAGGATTGGACACACCTGCCTTATACCGACCACTTGATGCTTTATTTGAGCTCCGAATCCTAGGCAACGACATCAAGACAAAAACAAAACGTAGGGTGCTATAAATTAATTTGACTATTGGTCTGTTAAACTGAATGAGTATGTTGTTGCATCCCTATCTCTGAATCCTGATTGGTGTCTAAATCAACTGAGAGGCTGGTTTATGTTCACAGTATAGATATATATATCAATATAAAATTGAAAGCTATTTTCGTACATAGATAGATATAGAGTTGGCAGTCTTCTAAAAGAAGTGCAGATATTTATTAATGATATCTCTGACAGGAGTTCAAATGTTTGTTTGCACTTTGTCTTTAAATAGACATATAGAATGCAGTACTTTTAAGAGGAAATGCTGTGCATCCATGATATTCATTGAATATTTCTGAGGAAATTAATTCCAAAAATCCTGCTAGGAAGATTTGCTTATCAACATATTCCCTATATAAAATATTGTGTGATGGTAAATCTCTTTCACATGATTCACAAATCATGCTCTCTTTGCACTCTTCACAAAAGGTTGATTTTTACTTGTCAATAGCAAATTGTGAAAGCAAATGAAAGAGGTAACGTATTCTGCCATGCATTGTTTTCTTTCCGAATGTCATCACCCACCTTCAACACTGGGTTGGGGATACTGTAACTTCATGTATCTAAATACACACAGTCTCTCAATCTCTACTAGCTTAGCTAGTAAGCTAAGATGTTATCTTGCTAAGTGAAGGCTAACTGAAAACACAAGGAATCCAGAATCCAAGGTCTCAGCCATTGGAATTTCTTTAGGGTTTCTTTGGCTGCACTTTGAAAAATTAATAGTAAATGAGGTCTAAGTTGAAATGGTTTGAACTTGAGTGTTATGTTATACATCTGCATGTAACACAGCATGGTGGCTAAAGGCCTGTACGCACCAAGAACAATAACTAGACTTATTAAGTCTTAATAATTCTTCTAATTCTATGAGAATAGGGAAGTCCACAGCAAAATTATAACAAGAGAAGAGAAATATCATTGGAATCGCTTGGGGGAAAAAATTCTCTCCAGCTGATGAATGATAAAAACATTGACAGCCAATCAGAATCCACCTGAATTTACAGAGTTCAAGCAATTTAAAGCGGGAGACGATAAAACTGTAGTGTGCGCTTATAATAAACGTTTACGTGCGTTGGTGTGAACGCTAGCATAGTTATGATTGTTATAGTTTTTAGTTCTTGCTGTGAATGGGACTTAAAGGGTTAGTTCACCCAAAAATATTTTTACTTTTTTAATTTACTCACCCTCAAGACATCCTTGGTCTGTATGACTTCTTTTTTCAGCCAAACACAATCAAGAGTTTTATTAAAAAATATCCTGGCTCTTCCAAGCTTTATAATGGGAGTGAGATTTTTAAAGCCGAAAAAAGCACATCCATTCATCATAAAAGTAATCCATACGGCTCCAGGGGGTTAATAAAGGCCTTCTGAAGCGAAGCGAATGCGGAAGCACAGTGGATGGAGAGCAAAACAAAACACCGGTCAGGAATTAGAAGTCTAAAAAGATCATTTTTAAAGAGAAATGTCAGAGGAGCTTGAGTTTGTTCCTCAGCCCTGTTTGTTTGAACTGCGAGACGCGTCTACTATGCTTACGCTGATCCTACATCCTACGTCATACGTCGGGTCAGAGGTCACTCTTCCGCTTAGACTCGCATACGGCCGTTACCGGAAGCCAGTGATTATAATTCATAAAGTTATAAATATGGATATTTTTTCAACAAAAACACATCCCTTCAAAATCTCAGTTACTATTCACTCCCATTATAAAGCTTGGAAGAGCCAGGATATTTTTTAATATAATTCTTCTGATTGTGTTTGGCTGAAAGAAAGTCATATACACCTAGGATGGCTTGAGGGTGAGTAAATTATGGGATAGTTTTCATTTTTGGGTGAACTAATCCTTTAATACTCTATCTTGATGCTTTGCTCCATAGAATATAATGGATTGGGGAACGTTGATGTGAGTCATGTGAAAGAGCTCTTAATACCAGGGCTTAAAATGTAATCAGCAGGAATGTTGAATTGAAACCGAACACACTTTAGGTTACACCTGGGCCTCAGTAATACATCCTTATCCTGCAGTGTATTTGAATTTTCTTTCAAAATTGACATTTTTGTGAATTACATTCCCGTTAATGTAACTGTAATTAATAAATAGACCATTTCAGCATTACTTGAAGGTGAAATGGGTAATTTCTGTGCAATCGGTGGCATCAAACAGAACTGCAAAACTGGGCTGAAAAAACAGCGTCGGCACAGCCAATTGCGTGATTTTGAGGGAGTGTCTCCATTGTTCAATCGATTTTATGATCAAAAATGACACAGAAATTACACTTCACTTAAAAAAAAAGAACAAACACATCAACATGTGTATTTTTCCTGCAAAACTGTCAAAAAGAATTACAATTACTTTAATCATTTTGTTAATTTTAATAAATATATAGGCCTTCATGTCAACTCCGGTTCCTGTGTAAAGGACCCCAGACAAGACCTCATCCATTCTATCCATTGTCATAATATCGTCTCTATTATGTTCATCTCCCACAGAAATAAAGCGATGACTGGTTCTACTGATGCTCTTTGACAACTGTTGTAGATGACAAGGAGAGCCAACAATGATCTATTCATTACAAGATAGTGCTAATATTTCTCGGATAAAGATAAATTAATTGAAGCACTCCAAAAGGGTGTGTGCTCGGCTATTCATTTCCGAGTGATACAACCTTAGAAATCCCAGACAGACATTGTCAAAGCAAATGTATTTTCCATAGAGTACCAGCAAAGATTGTGTGCATAAGAATGAGCTGGATCGCTTTGATGTCTCTCCATAGTGTTAGACAGGTATGGAAGCTTGTTTCCGCCACAGAATGAAAAATAAAAAAGGTAATTGCGACTTTTTATCTCACAATTCTGACTTTATTTCTCAGAATTGCGAGATGTAAAGTCAGAATTGCGTGATATAAAGTCAGAATTGCGAGATATAAAGTCAGAATTGCGTGATATAAACTCGCAATTGCGTGTTATAAAGTCAGAATTGCGAGATATAAAGTCAGAATTGATTAATATAAATTCGCAATTGTGTGTTATAAAGTCAGAATTGTGTGATATAAAGTCGAAATTGCGTGTTATAAAGTCAGAATTGTGAGATATAAACTATTCTGAGGGGGGAAAAGTTAGTCTTTTTTCCCCCTTAGAATTGGCCTGATAACTCGCAATATCTTTATATCTCACAATTCTGAGAAAACATGTAAGAATTTAGAGATATAAACTCGCAATTATGTGTTATAAAGTCAGAATTGCGATTCGCAATTCTGTCTTTTTTCTCGCAATTGCGACTTTATTTCTCAGAATTGCGACTTTATATCTCGCAATTGCGAATTGATTTCTCACAATTCTGACTTCATATCTCGCAATTGTGAGATAAAAAGTCGCAATTATTTTATTTATTTATTTTTATCCAGTGGCGGAAACAAGCTTCCCTAGACAGGAGCTTGGTACAAAATAATTGGAGTTGAACGAATCAGGATCAAGGCATCTTAAGGCCAGAAACGTACTCTACGCAAGTATGCAAATGCTAACTACGGTAACTAATGTTAGCTGTTTGGCTACATCCTTACAAGCATACGTCATTAGCATACAAATGCTAACAAACCTCTGTAAAACCTGATGAGTTAGTTCAACTCAAACCGTTTGAGGAAACCGATTGCCTTAAATCATTTAAGTTTATTAACTCAAACAATTTAAGCTTAAAAAAATATTTGATTTGTGTTCAAGTAACTCAATAACTTATTGTTAAGATAACTTGGGTAAATAAAGTTAATAGTATTAATTCCATTCAGTTAATATAACTTAAATCTATGAAGTACACTGTAAACCCAAATAAGTTGGCAGAACTCAAAATACTTTTATTAGTATAAACTTAGTTAGCTTTAAAAAGCTAATCTGCTAACATAGTAAATGCTAACATATTAGCAATCGTATGTTATACAGAAACACTGTATGAGCACAGCAATATAAATGGATTATTTGCTCTCAAATCAAGCTGCATGCACCACTTGTCACCATGATGGTAACTATCCTAAAGCCAACATTAACAGAAATTCTTCTAAATTAGCATAACAAAACATGAATCACTACTAAATCTCACACATAACATTAATCTTACACACAAAAAAACATTATATTACACTTAATTTTAGCATTTACTCTCCCTTTCGAGTGCCATCGGCAAAGCATGCTGGGAAATAGACATCCCAGCTGTTTCAGTTAAACTTAAGTTCGTCTAAATTAAAATAAATAATTTCATAAAACTCAAAACAATGAAACAGTTCAGTTTACTTAAAATATATCAGTTCAGTGAACTTGAAAGAAAAAGAAAGTGCTAAATACTCATAAAAGTTAATTTGACTGAACTAATTTGTTTAATTTAAGTTTGTCCTACTCAAACCAATTAATTATTTTGAGCATTAGGGTTTACAGTGAAGTGGGCGACATAGTTACCTTCAAATGTCTGTGCTATTGAACAATGCGTTGTGTTGCTTCTTTTGAAAGTGAAATTTATTACAATAGAAGATGATGAAGCTTTTTTGCCCATGAAAATGTAATGAATCC